AATTTTTTTCCCGCGAAAGTCAGTATCGGAGATGAGATTTATTAATGTTTCAACAGCTTTTGGCGAGTAAACATCACAGGTTGCGTGACTCAAAATTTGGCCGAGTGGAAGCTTGGGTCTGCTTGCACAGAAGTCGAAAAAAAAAAAACCACGGGTAAACCATGAACCGCGCTCGGCCCATGGCCGCGCGGTTAATTATAGCAATTAGATCTTAAGCTCTTTATTTCTTTGTTTTCTTGACTTACAACTCGGACAACTTGATTCAAAATTGGGTCAACTCGACTTGCAACTCAATACCTCAACACATTTGACTGGTACTGTAGATAGTCCTATAATAGGATCTTATAAAGGATCTTACATGGCCTCTTAGAGGATCTTAACTTAGCATTGTATCAGGATCCTGGAAGGACACACTGCAACTTACTTCATCACTCATGGCTTCCTCAGACTTGTGTTTCTTCAAACATTTGTATACTCTTCCCTCCCCTGAAGGAATCTCCGCACAAAATCTCTCTCTGTCATCTTTACAAGCATAGTACAGAGGGCGGTCCAGATGGTAGTCATCAGAAGACAGTTCAGCTAGACGATAGATTTGTTTCTGACATTCCTGTGATAATTTTTCCTGGTATTCTTCAAGGCATTCTAGTACATCATTTTGAGAGTGGACATCCTAGGAAAACAATCAAGAATGATCAACTGAATCATGTGAAATGACATGAATCTATTTCAAGAAATATTAAAAAATATTTAGGAACCAATACTCCATAAATCACTGTTTGCAACACAAACCTCTTCGTCATCTTCTGTTGGAATCCTGCCACACTTAAACGTGTTCACATCTTTAGCACAATTATCCAAAAAGTGTGAAATCAGACGGAAATCACTGAAGAAAATTGCTTGCATTTTGGTCATCATATGCTTGCATGCAGGAACTGTCAGATTCTGTCTGTGTTCAACTAAACAAGCAACAATCTGCCCTGGTTTTTGACAATCAGACAACTATAGAAAGAAATGAAATGAAAGATGTTGTTACTGCACTACAGATTTACACAAAGTAAAAAATCTTTTTCTTATAATTGCCAACTTAAGATACACGGGGACCAAGATAAATTTTAACAGTTAATTATGTTAATTATAATTATCGGTGGTACTAATTTTGAAACACTGTCACAACAATTACCAGTTCTAGATCAGCCACACAAAATCTTTCCTGCACAGCTTTTTCAAACTTTTGATCCTTGGCAAATGTGCGTTTGTATTCCCACAGCATCTGAAGATAAAAGTATAAGGGCATGAGAATGTTAAATCTAGTTTAATGCTTTCAAACCACCATAAGTTCTTCATATAATGATACAAAGAGTCTGCCCATCTCATCATCTCATTCCCAAAACACAAACAATTTCTGAAATGCATCATGTTGTTAGACAGTGGTCTACCTTAAGCAACTAATGCTTCAAATACTGTTTTACAACAACATCATTATTTTATTACTGAATTAACTCCCTGTGAAACCATGCCAACATTTTGATCCTTACTCTTGCTTCTCAGTGAAATTAAAGCAGTATTCAGTCATACAATATTTAGTACTTTTTATTGAGTCATGTAATTCAAAATGACTAAACCCTTAATGTCCCACTATTGAAAAAAGAGTACAAGCAGCACTTTAAATCTATTAAAGTACATGTGTGCTGAAACATGCTGGAAACTGCTGTGCCTATAGCCGGAGACCACAGCAGCATGGTCAGGACCGTCAATAAGGCCCGTAACCTGTAATACCTGCTACAGCTGAGTGTGCTTGATGGGCCCTTGATTTTACAGGTGAACTTGCCTCACTCAGTGGTTGATACAATTCACGTATAAAATAACAAGTTTGTTACAGGTGTGAAGATCAGGCTCTCGGTGAATCAAAACTTAATAACAGCCCTGATGGTGATATTTTGAAGTCATATGAACAAGACTTTCCTATGGCAAAGCATGATAAGTAGACAAACACATAGCAATTTTTCTTGGACAATTCTGTCCAAGGGGGAAAGGCGTAATGAAGTTAACCCTATGTGAAGCACCAACCTGTGAGACAAGGCCAGTCCACAACACCGGGAACTACGTGCCCTACTCTTTGCGCACAGTTATACCAAGTACAATTATACCAAGGTTCCAGGTAAGTTTTACACAGGTAGGGCTGGGTATGAGTTAGGAATTGTAACAGGTCAATAACAAAGAGTCCTTTAACTAAATCCACAGAGGATTTCCATTAATTTGTCAACTCAGACAGCTGACCTTACATGTCATATATTAGACTCAGGTCCTGAGACCCTTCTGCTATTCAGAGCACTATAAGCACAGGGCAGGAAAAAAAAATTGAAATACACTTGCCCAGTGCACCAGTAAATTTCAATTTTCATTCCAGTCTTTAAGCTTTTCATTGAAACCACAGGCTTTTTGCTGTTGTTACTGTATTTCTCTTATGTGAATATGCAAGTGTTGTACTTTCTGTTTCAAGGAAGTACTTTTGCTAAATGTCAAGGTTGTTACATGAAAGAGCGAACATCCTTCTTGAACAATGTTTCAAGGGAGCCATTTCACACTACTTGGCGTCAACTACATAAAAAAAAACCCCTTTCAACCACCTATAACTAAGCAACAAATTATCCCAATAATTTAAGGGCAACCAAGCAGTCATCAGGACAACCAGAGCCAGGGGTAATTTTGAACACTGTTATAGACTCACAAGGCTACTGAGGCTACTCTCACTTGCCCACCAGACCACTGATGTTCTATTTTCACTTGTGCAAGAGCAAAATTTCCTAGCCCTGGGCAAACGGACCCAAGTTTTTTCCTGCCCTGAAGCACAGATAAAAATACAACTTACATGATGACAATCTGTGGTCAAATCATCCTCCTGAATAGAGAAACATGAAACAGAATTCAGTGAGTTGATAATGGTCACCTAATAACTGCTGTACAGGTAACCTAATGTTATATAAATCACGTATTTATCACACAGCTAGCTCAGCAAGTGGCCAAGATAAACCGAAATCCTGTGCTGTTATTACAAAACAGTTGCACTCTGCTTACAATGTATACAAATTCAGCTATTTCAAATTCCTGTTATTTCAAACTCAAACCCACGATGCATTTCCCTTGGATGTGCCCAAGTTGTCTTTTTTAGTATTTTACTATAAACTATTTTGAACATGTATGGGACAAAAACTGTTACAAGTAAACTGCTTAAAAAGATTTCAGGACGAAAACACTTTTCATAACAAAACATTAAGTGTTACAGTAACATTAGTTTACTTTATTTTTGGGGCCGTTGCACAGAAGATGTGTAACATTTTTTCTAAGATTCAAATCTTTAAATATAATTATACTTCTTTATTACAAAATGGTTAATCATCATGGTTGTTCTACTCAAAGGTAAATCACATGATTGTTTATGTAAAAAAAACTCAATACATTAATCTACAAAGTAACAAAACATACCTTGGCCTTTTCTTGTAAACAGACAAGAAGGGCAAAGTTGTTTCCTTTGGGAATTTCAGGACATAGACGAGTAATGTCATCGGCACAATCTGACTGGTCATCATCCAATCTTTGTTTGCTCCCTGCAAATCTGATTTTACCCGAATCAACTCCCCTCTCTCCTTGGCTCTTTGAGTTGGAAGAATCACCTGCAAGAACAATTGAAAAAAAAAAGGTTCTATTCTTGTTCCATAACTGAAAGTGCTGGAAACGTTGTGATGTTTGTGTTTAACACCCTATGGTGTTCGGTGAAATGAAATTACATGTATTTGCAGTGCTGTGATTTCTTGTTAGACCTTTCTTGGACCAAAGATCAAATGAAAGAAACTGAACTATGTAGTTTATTTCTGTGAAATTATTAGTTTCTGTCAGGAAGCACGACTTCAATTCCTGGAAATTTAGGTTGTTTTATCACTTGGCAGCAGTGGCTTTTCGGGTCAACTTGTCAGTCATGTTCATGGATCTTCATACAAACTTCTTCATGCAATCAAATTGTGAGGCTAAAATATACATGTTGCCATGATGGTGTTTCACTAACTTTTCCCACGGTGATGCAATGTTCATTGATTTCTTTTTTGCAGTATTATCTTGTTCAGAGTCCTCCCATGTCCCCCTTTAACATTCTGTGAGGATGTTCGGGTATGCAAGTCAACTTAAAAACGTTGAAAGGGAGTTTACACTATATACCTTAGTGGGACAAGGGGATGGGGGGAGGCTTACAATTATTGGATACAATACTATTGTTCTTATCAGGCAGGGCACTGTACTGTGAGGGTCTATTTAACTTACAGCGTAAAGGATTACAGAAATTGATCTTTTGAGTTTTATTTTTTCCCGCAAGAACCAAATTTACACTCAATGACATCTTCTGTAAGCCCCACTGTTTTTATGTAAAAAGCACAACATTATTCAGTTTTAAAAATAACATAATTGGGTCTCAATGTCATTGCTGTTCTTATTGAGTAAAGTGAATTTCCTACATAAACCTTAGCACATTAAAAGTAGCCCTACTGATATTTAAGAGTATTTTAGAACGTGTGCCATAATTTGAGCGAAACTAATATAAATGAACATGCACACTGTATATAAATCTCGTACACGTGTTAAAAGGGTTTTTTTGTATGTGATTTCTCTAAATATTACTATATCACAAACAAAATCATTGGGAAAATATTCTACAATAAAGGGAATAACAAAACACCTAAATTCGAAGGCAAATGGTAGAATAATAATACTAGCGGCATATGAATGACCTGTTTCGTATACTGAATGAACTGAAAAGAAACGTACCGGTCTATCGACCGAATCCGCTTCACAGCTGTCCCGCATTGTTTATTGCATTTGGAAAAAGACGACTTAGTTTCATTGAGTCTTACGATAAAGGAAAACCGGAATGGTATAAAAGAGAAAAACAAGCCTATTATGATCCAGTGATATGACCAACCGCGAAGTAAAACCAGCTGAATTCACGCTAACTAATCAGCGCCTGAGAATATGATAATTTTATGGCAGGTCACCTAGCAAGTCTTAGAATGCACACGTAACCTACCTCTGCGATCGCGTATTTCGTCTGTATTGTCTGTCTGGACTCCTTTTGAGCGAGGTTCATTTGCTTTATTATCTAACACAACAAAAAAAAAAATGGCAATTCACTGCTATATTCTAGCCCTGCATGGGAAATAGCAATGCCAACTCAACCTACACAAATGTCAAATGACATTAGCTCAACGCCTTTTGAATTGAAAAAGATTCAACTTACTTGCTACTGGTTCGACTTCCCTTGCAGTATTCTCATCTATTTCCGTCCTTTTTTGTGTATTAACTTTCTTAGTAATTTGTTCATCGGGAGAAGGTGAAGACTCGCTCAAATGACTCCCTAATAAAAGAATTATTCCCAAAGCTATAACTCTCCGTAAGGACGCCATGATAGTTTTCGGCATTGACCGTCGTTACCGGCAGACTGGACACGAGTGAATCAACCAATAACAAAGCGATACGTCTTTTTATTTCACGCTCTCGGTGTTTTCAATGGCAGCTCTCAAATGAAACAGCTTTTCACCTCGTCTATTTTACTGAACTCCTAAGGTATTGCATAAGTGCTCTTTTGTCGTAAGGTACCCGTTACCCTCTGATAAAACACTTCAAAAACACACATCATTTACGATCATCTCTGTTTGTGAGGTCTTGAAATAGCGTTTAACAGAATAATTAGCCACGTTGGCAGTTCAACGGGACATCGAGGGTATATTGTCTAAGATCCAAACAGCTGTCTTAACTGATCATACGTTATTCTCATTTCTTTAGGATATTTTCTTGCGCAAAGATGGCTGGTTGTCGCGAGGAAGTGTTTCGATGGCCAATCCATACTGGTACTTTCGGCTGAACTAAACTGTATTTTTTTACTATTATTATTATTATTATTATTTTTTTTTTTTTCATCATTATTTCCATTTATTGTACTCTCCTGGCTTGCAAATAAACATGAAAGGCTGGAGACCAGCTAACTCGACACACTACAATACTTGGTTAACTTCCTATTCAAAACATTGACATTCCTTTAACTGAACTTTTTTCTTGAAATTCTATCATGAGAAACCAAAGATAATAACAATTAATAATAACTGCATTTCAATAGCGCTAAAATTATAATAATATTCTAAAGCGCTTTTCATAATATGATATAAAATATTAAAACAGTTAACTATTAAACGGCAAAATATTAAAAACGTTAAAACAAATTGTAAAGCTGTCTCTGTTGATCAAAAAATGAAACCCTGCAGTAAATCATTGGGACGTGTCGCGCATATTTTAATATGACCCTGAACCCAGACTGTACGTAACGTCTGTAAACCATGAAGTTTGTTAAATCTACCCCAATGAATATCTTATTCACCAGGGGTTTTAAGAGACGATCAGGGATAAAAACTACGCGTAGAATTAAATCGAACGACGCTTCGACCTCGCATCGGTCATTGTCGAATTTCTCCCCTCAAATAAGCGCCCCCTTCAAATAGGCACCCCTCCTATCGGCCAAAAATTAAAATAAACGCCTCCCCTCGAATAAGCGCCCCCTTCCCCTTCCCTTTTTTTATGGAAGAGTAATGAGACAACAGAAGATGCGTCGTTTAATTTTGGATGTGTTCAATCACAAACAAGAGATTATCGACTCATGAAGCACTGCACGTTGACCGTCGCAACGGATGGTAGCGAAGATCTGCTGATTCATTGCCTAAAGCCCGACCAACCTTGTGCAGCACGCCGGGCTTAGACCAGCTAAAGAGGTTATATTACGTAGTGATTACGATAACGATTTGAGAAAAATTAAATAAGAGCTCCACCCCTTTAAGCCCCTCCCTCGAATAAAGGACCCCGTCTTCTCCTAAATTTGAAATAAGCGCTCCCGCCGCTAATTCCAGGATTTAACATTTTTCAGTGGAATCTGAAAATAGGTTGGAAAAATGTAAAAAATGTTCCGTAAATTGATCTTCATTTTTGTGCTTGTTTTCCACATTGACTGAAGAATGAATAAAGACGAAATGCCATACTCGTGATGTTTTCTTGCTGGGGAACACACCTCACCAGGGAAACTAACTTCTATCGGCCAGAGAGAAATAAAATTAACCAGGGATTTAAAAGAAAAAACCAGCACTGGCGGAAGGGCAAAATACTTAACCCACTAGGAGCTACTAGGCCGGGTTTATTCAGGTCAATTAGAGAAGGTTGTAACTTGTCAGTCGAACCTCACTCAGTGAAGTTGACGTTTTCTTTGCATCAAGTTTTACAAATCTGTTCGAATGTTATAACAAGTAATGTGAACTCGCTTTAGACGGGTCTGTACTCTCTCCCAAACTTCCGCTCGTGCTTTTATATAAACAACTGAGTTTTTACATCGAGGGCCTATGGTCTGAAAAATGCCTGCGGAAATTTTCTGTTCTAGAATACAAGTATTAACCCGAGAAGTTGATTTCCACTTTTGAATAAAAAACGCAAAAAATTTTCTATCCTTCACTAATTTCCCTTCAGTTTGTTGTTTGATACCTGTAATTTTAGAGGATTTTTTTCTCACTGTCTGAAATACTTCTTTACCTCGATAGAAACACAAAGACAGCACGAGCAGTTGACGTGGTGATAACAAGAGGAAAACAAATTTACATTTTAATAATGGGAATAGACGATCGATTTTCCCTTATTCTTCTCTCTTGTCCAGAAGAAATAGAAAACATTTTCCTTGTTTCTAATCCCGGGGGTTACTCCAGGAGGGACTCCTGGGTTACTCCTTATATGGGCTATATAAATACGTGCAACCCCAAAGAGTATGGTTTGGTTTTTCATAAATAGGGTATCGATTTTGGCTATTTTGGTACTCTATATTTGATATGGGTATGTTTTTAAGAAGAAGCCACTTTTTCATCATTATCGAAAATAAAATCATCAAAAGCTCTTCACAAATCATGTTTACGGCAATTTAACATTGGTCATTGGGAACTAATCAAAAGGCAGCTCTGAAACATGGTTTTGATTTACATGTAAGGGTCAGGTCATAAATATGTAAGGTAGAGAAAATCGCATATTTTGGTCATAAATAGGGTCAGGGCCGCACACCCCAACCAATTTGCCCGCGGAAGTGGGCTCGATCCTGCGCCAGCACTCACATACCTCAGCGGATTCTCCTGCCCAATATTCGCAGCAGGGATCGCAGGGATGTAGGAGGCATTCAGCCGGAGTGTGAGCAGGAGTAGAGTCACGAGCATCATAGCTGAGGGCCCGCTGATCCTCGAGCACGAGATAAGAATGAAATCATGGCGCCCTTACAAATAGCATCATTCTGTGGAATATTTCTTTTAATAGTATGTCATTTGGGCGATTCTTCAAATCCTCTTGCCTCAACCAAGGGCAATGAGACCAGAGTTGATGCAGGATCGTCTGCAAACGCTGCAAAGGAGAAAGGTGACAATATTGCTCAGAAACAACAACAAGTAGCATTTATAAACTTTAATCGTACATGTAAGGAGTTCAGTTCAAAGTAAGACAAAGTTAAATTCTTTTGTAGCCTCAACTGGAGTCATTTTAGCCCGTATGGACTTTAACTAACGAAAAGAAATGCCAATTGTTGCAATATCAGATTCATATTTAGAGCTAGACAAGATTCCGCGTTCATCTAGGTAGACTGTCTTAGGTTACTTGTTATTAATTACCGATCAGTATAAAATGCAGAGTGCGAGAACTTGTGCCTTTTTATGGGAGTGAAAGTTTTTCTGACTACGATAATCTTGCTTACAGCTTATAAATGTATAATTTTGCTAACTGTATGCTGCCTAAACAACGTAGCATGAAAATTTGCATTTAGAGTGTGCAATGGACAAACGTGGAGGATGAATATAATGTTTAAAATATAGCATATGTGCTGCTCTTTATTAATACAGAGATACAAAAACTGATATGGAGCTCTGTGGTCAGTAACCAGTCATTTAACCCTCCAGTGGATAACATTAGGCCCTAACCGTTTATCCCCAACTCTAAGTTGATTAGCCCCCAACCAGAAGTTGAGAACGCTGTCAATTTCTTGTTCTTTAAGTGTGAATATGGGGGCTAATCGACTTCTAGTTGGGGACTAACCAGCTAGTATAGGGGCTAATCAACTTCAAGGCTAAAAAGACCAGGAACCCTGTGGTCAAAGTGCTTTGGTGTAGAGAAGTTGATAATTTTAATTTTGTATTCAAACTACTGTTGCCAGAGAAGGGAGTTATGGACTCTTTTCAGCATCTTCACCATAGAAGCCAGACATTGAGCACTCTAATTTGACTCTAATTTCCCCTAATCTTAAATAGTCTTAGAGGTGAAACTTCAGTTGTTTGGATCTTGTTTTAAAAAATCTTTTGATTCTAAGATTTTCATGTTAGCCTCTAAACCAGTAACACTTTGAACAAACAGTCAGAAACAATTAGCCTGCGGAACACGGGTAATTGTTTTAATTTGCGTATTTTAGGTGAACAGAGGCGAAAGCGAGGGGAGCGCAAAAGCAAGGCAAGCGCAAAGTGTGTACTGTAAACAATGCTTTCCCTAACAGGCCTACTCAACTGTTTTCAATAGGGAAAAGTCACAAGAATTCAAGTGAAGTCAGATTTACAGGAGGTGCTGAAAAATGGGATGATGATGATACATACACATCTACAATGAAATTCGAGGGTAAATAAAGTAATGTATGTATGTATGCATGCATGTGTGCACATGAAGTTACTGGTGTATGTCCTCGAGGGCTGTCATTAAGGCAAAAAATCTCCAGCTAGGAGTCTCATCTCACTTTACTGTTAATTTTGGCCAAAAAAAAGGAAAACTTAAAATAAATGTGGCTAAATGTAATTACAGGCAAAGTTAATCTCAAGCCAATGTAAGCAGCAGTCGCCCCCATTTCAATACATGACCTGTGGGGTGACATCAATAGCTTGCAGCTCTCCTCGTGGCCCGTATAATTATGTTTTGTTGCATTGCAGCTGATTTTTGCAGATCATTTGTGTCTTGAGCTGATCTTTGTGTAACAAGGAACCAGTTCCCAAGCTCATCTACTAGTGATGAGTTTAATGAAAAGTTTTAGCAAAAGTAATTGTAAGGCACGTTAGCCCTAAAGAGGGTCTAAGCAGTGACTTGACTCCAGTGAGGAAATGGGATATTAAAAATAATTATTTCATTTTGTATCATTGTTAAGGCTGGTTGTTTGTTAAATTGATCACATGTTAACTTGTCACAAAATGGCCTGCTACATTTAAATACATGTAGCTGTGCTGTTCACAGACTTGAATCATGGATTTCTTCATTTGAATTGTAACTCATTTGATCCTGTTTCCAGCACTTTCAGTTAGTGTTATGGAACAATTAATGGAACCCTGATTTTATTACTGTTCTTTTAGGTGATTCTTCTAATTCAAAGAGCCAAAGAGAGAGGAAAGATGATTCAGGTAAATTTGCAGGGAGCAAGCGAAGATTGGATGATGACCAGTCAGTTTGTGCCGATGACATTACTCGTCTATGTCCTGAAATTCCAATGGGAAACAACTTTGCCCTTCTTGTCTGTTTACAGGAAAAGGCCAAGGTATGCTTTGTTACCATGAGATTCATGTGTTACTTCATAAAGTGCTACTATGATCAAATTTTAACCCCTTGAATTTTTAGGTTTATCACATAGAATTCCACAAAAGAGCAAAAATGCCGGTTACCATTTGCAAATATCTGCATTGGTTGCGGATATATTTAAGTTTGAAAAATGTGTTAAATATGCAAATGAGATGACTGATAATGTCATACACTCAACCCAATATTATAGCAAGTATATATTGAGCTATCTTGATCAATTTGCAGCAGAGACCATGTTGAAATTTGGTAAGCTAATAGGTCTACATGCACACACCTACGGCTATAAAAATTTCCGTTCCCATAGCAACACGCTCTTTTTCAATCCCATCTAAAATGATTTCAAGATTTTAGTGATTTTCAGCTCAAAAAGGCCATGAACTCGACCTACATGTAACATATTTATATTCCTGCTGGATCATGCAGATGAGGCACCATTGACAAATACATATATCAATGGTGGCCAGAAAAGCCTTTAATTTTGGGGAGGTCTGGAACCCAGTACATTGCCATGTAAAGAAAAAGGTTAAAGATCATTTCCAGTCTGTACTACGCGCTCTTGAAAGTTTGTTTGCGTTTTTTGTTTTGTTTCATGTGAGACATCACAGAATGTAAACATTTCACAACTGCAGTGCTTACTTGAAGTAAATTCAAAGTTTCAAAACAACTGCCATTATGGATGCGAAGCGGTCTAAACTTTATACTTTGTTCTTTCTCATATCACTTGATGAAACAACTTTGCAGCTGTAAAAATCAGTGAGGCTGCTAGAAAAAGAATTTTAAGGGCCTCAAAGATAAGGTATGTGATTCGTAATGAACGATGCCAATTCACATTCCACTGAGTGTGAAGGTGCTGAGACTGCACAGTACAGGCTGAAGGACATCTTTAAGCTCATATGGTGGCCAGAGTACCTCTAGTAGAATCTTACGGCAAAGAATCAAACATTTCCATTACAAATTGGCTGAGATATCTTTGTTCATCATATTTGATCAAAATCCGGTTGAGTTTATGACGTCATCACTTGGCTAATTTGCATATTTTAAAAACTTGAATCTCTCTGGAATGAAAAGAGATATTTGAAAATTATAGTAAACAGCATTTTTCTTCTTGCACAGTCTACTTGTCTATGTTATAAATGGCTTAGATAGGAAAGATGCTGATTGTATGTAGTAAAATTAATAAATTTTTGTGATTCACCTTTGAGACAACGAAATGTATTTAATACCATTTTCTGGCACTTAACATTATCTTTGAAGTATGCACATTACTCTTAAATAATTATAAGATTTATGATTCAAACAGGTTTGTTCATGATACATTGTAACTGCTAACTAGTATATGTGGCATTTGACGAGAAAAGATACTTGTTAATGGTGCACCGCCAAAAAAACTAGTTTCATAACCCATTGATGTTTGTGCAACCCATAACCGACCATCATCACCTTTGAATAAAGTTGGCATCACCTATACTCAAGTTCTGTAGGAGGAAAAGATCTTTCCAGTGATACCCAGATCAGAGTGATTGGGTCAATTGAGCATGAAATATGCATGAAAATGCTTAGAAATTTGAGTGAAAAAATCTGAGCAAAAATCCCTGAACTAGACTTGGTTACTACCTGCTAGGAATTTGTCATCTTGATGATGCTTTCTCAGGAATTCTTCAACTGGGAACAAGCCCAGTATTAGGTCATATCTAACAACAAGGCAAGCTTAGTATCAAACATATCATCCAATGCAGACTTGATTGCAGCTTTCAGCACTGCTCATTCAATTGCCATGAGAAAGGTTGTCAATTTAAACTGGAACCATTCTAAATAGTCAAGTAAAGAACTAGTAAATTGAAGGAAACCAAAACATTTTTGGGACGAACTAGAAATTGGCTGAGAGGATAATCTTTGAGCGACGAGGGCGAGCGCAAGTGTGAGCGACGTAAGTTACGAGAGGTCAACTTGTTTCACTTGCAGGGATGTGAATCAGAGCGTAAATTTTTGGCACGAAAAACATGATTGACATTTTTCACTTTCCATGTGCTCCACATGCGATCATCACGAAAGCAGAAAATGATTTCCGTCAAAATGTTTACGAGTGTACAAGTACTGTTCCCTAACTCAAATAAATTTATTTGTGTACAGTGCAGTATGTAGTCAGCAATATTGACAAATGGCAAAAGCTGTTCCATTGAGTAACACCTCCTCAAAAGACAAAACCATGTTTAAACCGATTGTGAATTATTTTAGTCTAGATTAACCAGCTATCGGACAGAGAGCTGCCTGACAATTGCTACAAACTCATGTAGATCTAGCTTGTATCGACAAGAATCCAAATTAACTAAAGAAGGCGGAATAAGTCGGGGAGAACCTTAATTCTGTAATAAAAGCTCTCTTGATTAAATAACGTTGAGAATTGAAGTCGCAACGAATGGGAGAGAACGAAAGGGCTGTTCCCAAGAGTCGGTAAAACAGCCAATGCAAATTTGTTGCGATGCCCTTTCTTTGTAGAGAAGAAACTTGGTCATTCATTAAATCAACTAAAAGTGCAACAATTACACAAACTGCAGGAATGGCTCTGTTCTTCTTTGAAAGGTCCAAACTTAATTAATTCTCTCAAACGATCCAGATCACGCAGGTGGTCAAATCTCGTCTGTAAGTAAACAAACATGTATTGGTCACATAAATAGCCTTCCACTGCTTTTCCCTGTCCTTCTTTCAAAGACTTGAAATTAAGGTGGATAGACTATATTCAATTGCTTCCATAAAATTCATATCCTTAAGTATATCCGAGAACAAAAGCTAAATTAAAAAGGTTTTTGAACTCAGCAGACATTTGCTCTGCGAGTTGTGTTGTTGATCACGAGCAACGTCATGACGTATAGTCAGTTCTTGGTTGTTCATTAGTTAATGTGTATTTACGTCAGCAGTGGAAAAATGCACCGGTAAAATTTGGTGCCCTGCAAGTGGGAAAAGTCCTTTCCAACGGCGAAACCAACAGGCCAGAGAAGAATTATTGGAAAGGACTTTTAGAAAGTCTAACTCCACCCCTGCTCAGTTCACTTCCAGTTTGTATAAATTTACTTTGGTAGTCTGCCAGGATGTTTCATGTTTGTATATCTGTTCAAGGTCCAAAAATTACTCGCAATTACTGTTTGTCATGACAGTCTTTAAATTTTACTCTGACTGGTGTTTTAACTTGATTTTCGTTCATTTTAAATTCAATATTACGTTTAAGCAGCAAATGTGACAAGTTAGCTTTTCACGCCGACTTTGTAACTTGATACTTTTGTTTCCCTCTCAAAGGTAGGTAAAATGAAACCCTTGTTTTCTCCAAAACACACGGAAGAGGTGCTTGTTTTCTCTTTCACTGCTGGAGATGAATGAAATAAAGTTAAATATCTGATGAAGAAATGGAAGAGAAACGATTTTGTTTTACTCAGAATGTAAATTTTTTTCAGTGATAAACAAGAACTAAATAAATTCAATTATTAAATAGTCACAGAATACCACGTTCTTTTTCTTTTGCTGTTGCCACCTTTGTTGTTAACAAGAAAACAATTCAAAATTAATACACAACGATATCGACTGATACAACTGAGAAGCATTTCGATGAGAAGTATTGAAGGTAAACAGTGCTACTTGGCTGATATTATATTCTACATTGGTGGACGAGTCCCCTCAAAGGCTGCTTAAATTAATTTGCACTTTCATTAGATGAGCACTTTACTGGTTTCTTTTGTCACAGATTTACAATTTGAAGAGTATTAAAGCCACTAACTCGGGAATCTTTTTTATCTCTCTTACAACAACAACAACAACAACAACAAAAACCTTTATTAACCTGTCTGGGGTATTTAGCATTGCTGCTAATTGGGGACACACGCAAAAAAAGAAATTATGAATGTAAAAATGAATAAGTATATATTAAAAAGTTAATAAGTAAATATTAAAATATTGATAAGTAATAGATCAAAAACGAGTGCGAGTTTTTCATCAGGGGTTCCAAACACCGAGAAACAGATGAAAGCACGACGCCGAAGGCGGAGTGCTTTTATTGT